CAGGACTGGGCTCAGGGTGGGTGGAACAACCGCTTTGTCCCCTTGTGTTTAAAGATTTGACTGGGCCGAGGCATCTAAGCCGGCAGCTTTGAGCTAGTTGGTCTCAGGAGTACCTTGCACTGTAAGAAGTTCCCCAGGGTCCCCAAAGTGCTTTTGCTTGTGTATCATATTTATCCATATTCACCATTTTAGAAATTAAAGCTGAGAAATTGGATAATATTAATTCGTTGAAAATTCTCAAATAAAAAACCAGGACCTCCCCTGTGGCACAGGGGTTAGGTCTCAGCACTGTGAATCTATCACCAGCCACTGCCCTGAGTTCCATGCCCGGCCAGGGAGCTACCCACAGGGCGCAGCAGACCTCTCCTGTCTCCCCGCTGCTCCCCTCAGCAGTGGATTTCAGTAGATCTGCCTGTTCTGCTCCCCACTCTGTCTCTGGTGAATCCGCTCAATCCCCCCAACCTCTGGCCTGCACCCCAGTTCTTCTATGCATAAATAAATAAAAATAAATCTTAAAAAAATTACATGTTAATGTAAATAATATTTTTTCCTGAAAATAAAACAACAGTTCGGTCGGAAAGGTGAGGTTGTTCTGCATTTTTGAATTTGTTGTGCCTGGTCCAGGACAGCTAGGTCTTCACCTCTGCTCCCCAATTCAATCTGTTGCAATCCATATGCTATTTTGGCTGAAATACGTACAGATACATATTTCAAATACATAGCTTGAAAAGGATGTTTTAATAGCCTTAGCGATGTCCCGGGGAGTGATCTCCCTTGAGGTCACACCACAGCAGGCAGGCACAGCTCCTGCAGGGCCCCTCCAGGTGGGTCTGCGGCCAGGGCTCAGCTCTGTGCGCTGGGCCGCGACCTTGAGCTCGCAGTGCACCGCGCTGAGCCTCTACCCAAGCCTGGTTCCCGACAGCACCAACTGCTTGTATGGATCGGTCAGAGCACATGTATCTGCCAAGTGGGAACACACTTCATTAGTCAGCATGGTGAACACGCTCCTGGGAGGTCGCCGAGACCCACCAGAAAGTTCCCTCAGCCTTGCAAACGGGCAGCGCCACAAACGGGCCACGTCGGCCTGAGGGCCCAGCCTCCCACACTGCGGATTTTTGCTGCAATCTACTCACTGGCACTGAATGCTACCAGTCGATTCCGTGAAAGAACAGGAGGCTTACAGTGTTCTGCTTTCAAGACAATACCCACCAGACACACAAGCCTGAGGCCACCGCAGGAGGCTGGCGACGCTCAGAACACGCAGAGCGCAGCTCAGCAGGCTTGCTCGCCCTTCCCCGGCCCTAAGAGGCAGACTCGGGCAGGCCCTTTGGCAAAACCAGCGACCCCGATGCTCCTGAAGAGGTGGTTCTCGCTGTCAGCAGGGGGTGCACAGTGTGCCCCTGGTTGTTCTGCAGACACACCCCACCCCAGGCTCACTCTGGGGTGTCCCACAAGCGGCCCCATGCCGCACCTTTTTTTCAAAAAAAAGATTTATGTATTTATGCACACAAGAGCTGAGGTGCGGGGGGGGGGGTGAGGGGAGTCACCAGAGACAGGGTGGGGACAGAACAGGCGGATCCACTGAAACCCACTGCTGAGGGGAGCAGCGGGGAGACGGGAGAGGTCTGCCATGCCATGTGGGTAGCTCCCTGCCTGGGGATTGACCCCAGGCTGCAGAGGCTGAGGACAGACAGGGCCTGTGGAAGTGATAGTTTAGTGATGTTATAGATGACCAGTTTTCAGGTGAATCTGAACCCTAAAGGAAGCAGCACTATGTTTCTTACTGTACAAAAAAGATTTCTCAGAAGTCAAAAGTTCAATTTCAAAACTCGGTAGAGAAGGAACATGCAAACAGAATCTAGGCTCTTAGCCCCGACTCGTTCACCACGATTCTGAACGCTCGCTGTGACTGACTTCATATGGAAAGTACAAAGAAGAGAAAAAAATGATAGTTTCACTAATTTTTTTAACCTAAAGATTTCATTGAATTCGTTGATCAGGAGGTAACCTGAGAAGCCCGTGATGTTGCATGCGGGCTCTTTCTAACAGCCAGTTACCTCATTCTGGTCTTTATTCAACCGCAGGAAACTCCCATGTTCTCCAGGGCACCTGCTTCCTCCTGTTACCATCATTCTCCACAAACTGTCACTTCTGCCTTTGACTCACTGCGGTGGGTGAATTCTGACTCGACTGCCGATGTGCAGGCGGCAGCGTTAGTGCTCCAGCTCCTCCCCGGCCCCCGACACGGGCGCTTCTCTCACCGCCCCGGACAGCAGAGCTCCCAGATATTCATGGGGGAGAAAACAAGGCCGGGGGCCAGGCGGCTGGCATTTGAAGGTTAGGTTGCTCTTATTCAAAACACTTGCAACCCACAGAGGAGGAGCCATGTCAGAATTTCTTTAAAAGAGAGCTGGAAATACATTAGGAACAGATATTTAGGGGTCTGTAAGTAGCATGTTCTTCTTTGTTAGGAAATCTTGGCACCCTCTCAAAATATATTTGTTTTCGGGTCTCCCTGGTGGCGCAGGGGTTAAGTCTCAGCACTATGAAGCTATCACCAGCCACTGGGGCCTGAGTTTGATCCCCGGCCAGGGAGTGACCCACAGGGAGTGACCCACATGGCGCAGCAGACCTCTCCTGTCTCCCCGCTGCTCCCCTCAGCAGTGCGTTTCAGTGGATCTGCCTGTCCTGCTCCCCACTCTGTCTCTGGGGAGTCCTCTCACCTTCCTGTGCATCTGGCCTGCACCCCAGTTCTTGTATAAATAAATAAATTTTCAAAATAAATATATATATTTTTGTTTTCTACAAGTTTTCAGTAGAATTCAAATTCATTTCTAAAATAACAGAAACAAAGAGGGTAGCTTTTGTGTTAGGTCCTTCTGGGCATTTTTAAGCAAGAAAACATCTTAAGATGAATTTTTCACTTTTAAAAAAGGTAGTTTCCTTTTCATCTCAATTTCACCTCAATTTATTTTATACTTTCTTACCGCATATGAATCTCAGAAATGAATGTTTTACTTACTATTCAGCAGGCATATTTACAGAAGCTAATATCACATTTCCACTGAGAATTCCCTGTTTCTGGCTTCAGGGCAGTGCCGCTACGTGACACCCCAAGGCGATCCGCTTACATTATATTTAGAAACAGCCTCCCACACGGACCCAGGGCCAACAGCTGTAGCTTTTGCAAAAACAACTTTATTTTCTTTTCTTAATACTCACAAACCCTGACTAGACTTTTTGTTTTGTTTTTTAATCACCTTTTTATTTTGAACAAAGCCGATTCTGTTTTGTCTCACTGAGGGGTAGTGAGATCTGCCTTCACACAGGACCAGTGAGGCCTGGAAAGACGGGGGGAGAGTCTTGAACACGCCTCTTGGACACGTCTTTCTGCAGGGCCGGGATGGAGTTGGCGGCGGGAGGCCGTGGTTGCCACGGCCCGGGGGGTCCCTTGCTGGCCCACACGCGCCTGCCGGTCATGGGAGGGCAGCAGCAGCTCCTGTGGGGGTGCCTGGATTTCCTGTCTGTGTTCGCAAAGGTGCTTTGAGATCTGAGCAAGGGAAGTGGCCCAGCTGCTGGCCTCAGCTGGCCAGAGGGCCCAGCTCCATGCAGAGCTGGCCCTGGGGGAGGCACAGGGCCTAGGGTCCCCTCATTCCCAACAGCAGCGGGAGGGGGCCAGCTGGGGACACCCAGACCCTGACAAGGCGCGCCCCGGACACCTCACCTCAGAGGCGACTCCGAGCGATGATTAAGATGCGCTGAGCTCTTAACCCCTCCAGGCAGGTGACGTGAGTGCTTAGCTGGCCGAAGGCGCGCTCTGGTCACTGAATAGACGCTGGCGCTCAGTAGCTCTGAGTCCCGGATCTTAGGGTCGTGGGGAGCACGCCAGATCTTCGCACAGCATAGTAGGCACACATGCACACACACGCACACACACGACACATAGTTTAGGGTTCAGGGAGCCGATCCGAGGTCCGTGTGCTCAACCTTCTGGGAGCAGGCAAGACGGGGCCGTCCCCCGGCGCGGCTGGGCTCCAGACCGAAGGCCTTGCTTGCGAGCGGCGTGGATGCTCCGTGCGGCGGAGCAGGCCCCGGTGCTGGTGTGCACCTTCTCGGCCCCCCGCGCAGGCCCAGGCAGGGCCGGTCAGGCCTTCTCCAGACAAGGACGCTCTGGCTAGTTAGCGGGGACGAAGCCACGCGTTCCAGCCCAGAGCCCAGGAGGCTTCTTCCTGCAACTCCGCTCCCACAGTCCACTGAACACGCAGGGGAGGCCTCTAGTGGTGCGGAGCTGGCTGGGGCAGGGCCTCCGCAGAGGGGTGAAGGCAGAGCAGGCGGGCCAGGATGCATCCATCTGGGATGTGCTTGTTGCTCCTGTCACGCTCTTGCTCCTGTCTGTGACGGGCCGGCCGATTCTGCCCTGCACACCTTTCATCAGGCTGGGGGCCGCCGGTCCTCGGTAAGCCGCGGGGGTGGTAGGGTTGATGTGCCGTGGCAGTGCTTTGTCCAGCTAGGGCGTTGCTGTTCTTGCTGGGGAGCTGGTGACATGACGCAGGCCCGGGGCCTTTACCTGAGCAGCTGTGGTATCTAGAATGCAGGGAAGTCGGCTACCCAGGCGTGGCCTGAGGGGCACAGAGCAGCAAGGTGGGGCCACCCTCCTGGGAAGTGTCAGACAGATTCCAGGACTCACCTGACCTCTGATTCAGAGCCCCAGGAGGGAGCAGCCGGCTGTTAAGTGTACCCCCCTCCCTCCCCTGCCAAAGGAGCTCCAGTTATTAAAGCCTTCCTGTAGGAATTATTATCATCTCTGAAAAACCATGAAGCAAATCACTTTATCGAGACAATAGCAGAAACACTAGATGCAACTGGCACCTGACGATGAAGGTACAGGAGCCTTTGGCCAAAGGAGAAAAATAATCGGCTCGTCAGCCTTCCTCAGGTATTGCCCAAGATGTTTTAGGCTGATTACTGTACAGACTCAGCAAAGACAGAAGGTGAGAGAGCGAAAATATATGATGCTTTATTGTAAAAAATAGACAACCTTTAATTTCCTTGAATAGGAACACTGCTTTGACTCTCCACGACGTGGTATCACAGACGAGAGCCAGGACAGCTGTTGGGGGCGGTGCCCGCCCACAGGGTCACGCCATCCTGGGAGCCCTGGACGTCACCTACGTGCAAAGCACGGCTGGTCCATCTTGGCCCCGTCCTGTAGACACGGGCTCTGTGGTAGCTTTCCCAGCCCTGGAAGACCTCCAGCTATCTGGAACACTTGCTGATCCCAATGGTGCCATTTTAGGGCAGAGTCACACCCCCTCTGCCTGAGCAACCCCAGGTGTAGACTCTGTCCCGGCAGCCCCAGCCTTGGGGTCCCCTTATCTGTACCCCTTATGTGCGACTGTCGTGCTGAACTGAACACTGGCGTGGAGGCCACGTCTCTCTCCACGAAGTAACCATCTCAGAGCTGAGTGAGACAAACACGGCTGCTGTCCTGCAGGCACGGGCATCCGAGGTGCCAGAGAGCTGGGTGGGGAGACCCGGCCGCGGCCCTCACTTCCGACCCGCTCCACAACCAGACCCCACAGCCAGAGCAGACTCTGTGAAAGGGCCTGTCTTAATCCAAGTGGCGGTGTGCGGCTTCTCCCTGGAAGACCTACGCTGGCGCCCAGGTGAGGCGGGGTGAGAACACCGCGGCACGTCCGCCTGGGGGAGGCACCGGCCATGCTGCAGTGAGATTATCAGGAGGTGACGAGAAGGGACGGCCCCCCTCCCCGCCCCTTCAAATCCAACATTCACCAGGTGGAAGTGACCCCGAAGAAGCCGTCCAACACTTTCCACTTTTCTAGCTGAAAAATAACATTCAATACTTGACAACGAGAAAGGCTTATATTGTACCATGAAATTATTTAACATCAGGCTGCGGTTACTAACATGGGGCCCCCAGCTTTGCCCCTCTGTACTGCGGGACGGGGAAGAGGGTGCAGAGTCACTTCTATCCCCACGGGCTGGGAGCTCAGCATCGTTCAGGCAGAGTCTTTGCCTGAAAGGGTCTCTCTGAAAATGTGAAGGAGCCTCAGGAAAATGGACGGAAGCACACGGCGTGGACCTGCACGCAGGCGCCCGGAAGCTGGGTGGGCTCAGCAACAAAACCGGGAGGACTGTTCTTTTCCTGCCACGTTTCATCCCCTTTTGTAAACAGCGCGGGGTGTGCGGGTGCCGCAGTCTGGGGTCCTTCCCGAGAAGCCCCAGAACCAGCCCCGCCGCTGGGACCGTGGCGGCAGACCCAGGCGCAGGTGAACTGGACGTGTGCAGACGACCTGAGCCGCGGCCGAGGCCAGCTCCGCTCAAAACACCCCCTTCTCAGCTCTCTTCGATGACCGTGGTCCCCACCAAGGAGTACAGCTTCCTCTTGACCAGCCGAAAGCCCGGGCTCAGGATCAGAGTCCGCCTGAGGCCCGAGGAGCAGCGGCCGCCGAGGAGCAGGTCCCGCAGGCTGGCCCAGGGGCAGCTGTCCTGCTTGAGCACGAGCGTGAGCTCGAAGGTGGGCACCACGCTGGGGTCGCACGCCACCCTGGCCAGAGGCCTGCACACGTCCGCGGCGTCCAGGTGCACCTGCAGCACGCAGCCGCGCAGGCCGTAGGGCTCGGGGGAGGCCAGCCGCAGCACGTCCCGGGCCACCCTCTGCGTCAGCGCCCGGGGCACCAGCACTCGGGAGCAGCCCAGCCTGGTTCTCTTCGCTTCCGACAGACAGTTCTCCAGCATCCGAGCCAAACCCTGGCAGGCGGGCGCCTCGGACACCGCCTGGCCCAGGCTGGGCTCGGGGGCGACGTGATCCCAGCAGTCACAATCTACAGAGAGGGGAGTTGAAGATGAAAAACCAACCCCCAAATCCAGGAGCAGGAAAAACACAAGACACGGCACCGGGCAGCTCCCGCCACCTGCATCTGCTCTCACCCTGGTTCGGGGGCTGGCTGACCCCACCTGGCTGTTCACCCGCAGCAGAGCGAGTCCCCCGCGCCTGAGCGGTCATCTCTGAAGCTAAGGTGCTGGGAGAGGGCGAGCGGGTAGACCGGCTTTTCCTTCCATGTTCTACGTAAACACACACAGCATTTCAGAGATCATGCATGAAACCCACGTACGGGTCTCCTAGACACCAGTGGTTCTTGCTGCTCTCTCGTCCCGTCCCTTGCTCACAGGGGTTTTCTAATTTTGTTTTACAGAGAACACGCAGCACTTCTGGAACTATTTATTATTTCGGAAGACAGAATGTTCGCTGTTGTTCGTAAGTGATGGGCATAAGACGAACTTGATTATAGTAAATATCTATCAAAGTTGTGTCTTTGCAAGTCTGTCCTGGAAGGGTCTGTAAATCCCAATTTTAGCTTCAACCTTTTAGCTTAAAAACTGCTCAAAGAAAAGGCCCTGGAGGCTCCCGGAGGGTATTTATAACTGGCTGGGCAGTTTTTGTAGCCAAGTCAAGCAGAACAGTCCCAGGAAAACAAAATTAGATTTGCTCAAGGGAAAGAGATAGCTCTGCCTGGTCCCTACCTTCCAGATCATCCTCTCCCTTGGCAGGCGGCCACCCACAGCCTCCCCGGCACAGCCTCCGCCCTCCGGCCTTGCTTTCACTGGCTCCCGGACGTCCCTCTCCACATCACGCACACACTCAGCTCATCCTGTTACACAACTAAACAAACAGGCGCGCTCCAAATTATAAGGCTCCATATTTTGTCAAGGGCTAAGATAGAGAACTTCACAGCCTTGGCCGGAGAATGAGGTCATCAGCCTCCCCCGCTCGAGATGCAGCCAATGGCCTGACGCAGCTTGAGCCCACACAGCTCCTTGGTGGCCCGACCCAGCTCACAGGAACCACAGCTTAAACTCGCAGGCATCACTGCTGTTTTAACGTTGTTTATTTCGGGCATGAAAAACGGGATTGTGGGTTTAGCCTCAAATAGAATATTACTCAGCAATGAACAGGAACATGGACTCACAGAAGCAACAGGGAGGGACCTCCACGTCCTCGGGTTGTGGGAAAGACACGGACACTGCGTGGGTCTCCAGGCAAAGCGCGCCTCCAGCCACAGAGAGCAGCGCCGTGTCTCCCTGGGGCCGGGAGGGGCAGTGTGGTTTCCTGAGGGGCACACTCAGAACCTACTGGAACCTACTGTGGCTTCACAACCAGGGGCGCACCTGGGCAGTCAGTGCCAAGAGCCCGCTGGCGGAGAGCAGCCTCCACAGGGCGCTTGGGGGTCTAACTTTCGTCATGGACAGAAAAAGCTAGAGACTCACCCCCGAGCAGGCCGCCGGCGGGGAAGCCGCCGTCCTGGGCCTCCAGAGCGCGGGCCTGGGCCTTGCTGCTGGCACCGCCGCTGGCCACCATGGTCCTTGCTGGTCACTTGCAGGGCTGGGTCTCGGTGCCTGAAGGGGGCTGGGGAGGAAAGATGTGCACCCCCAGGGGTGCGGCCCCGAGTGAGCGCTCGGTTCCAGGGCGCTGCTATCCCAAGGGAGGGACCAGCCCTGCGACTGCGTTACAGAGTCGGGGCCTTCCTCGAGGGTCCCTCTCCGAACCCACGAACCCACGGTGGGTCCCCTCAAAGCCCGCGCCGGTAGCCACTGGACTTGCAGCGCCCCCCGCCTGCGCGCCCCCCGCCTGCGCGCCCCGGAGCGGAGCGCACCCCAGCCGCCTCCCTGAGCGCATCCGGAGAGCAGCCCCCCAACCCCCGCGGCCCCCCGCCCCCCGCGTGCCCCCGGAGAGCACCCCAGCGCCCCCATCCCGCGCCGCCCATGCCCTCCCCCGCGCGGGCGCCCCGGCCGGCTCACCGCAGGGTCCAGGGGCGCGCAGCTCCCTCCCGCCGCGGCTCCCCGAGGCCGCCCGGCTTTATAGGCCCGGCCCGCCCGGCCGGCGCCGCCCCGCGGTTCACCCGACCCCGCGGCCGCTGGGCAGGGGCGGGGCGGGCGGGGCGGGGCTGCACCTGCCGTCCCGGGGTGCGCCCCGCCCCTCCAGGGCCCGCCGTGGGCCCCGAAGCCGACGCGCCCCTCCTCTCCCCTCCGCGCAGCCTGGGGTCCTCCTGGCCCCTCCAGGCCCGCCCCGCGCCCGGGAGGGGCCGCCCCGGCCTCTGCGGCCTCCTGGGCACCCGGCCCGACCTCCCGCCCGCCCCAGCCGGCCCGCAGCACCTGGAAGGTCTCACGGGGCCGGGACCCCAGCGCGGGGGCTCCCCGAGGCGCTGGCCCGGAGCCCGGAGCGGAGACGGGCTCCGCGAGACTCCGGCCGGCCGGGGCTCCGAGGGGCGCGCCCGCCTCCGGGGACTGGAGCCCAGCGGCTGGGCGCAGCCGGGTCGGGTCCTGGGCAGAGCCGGGGCGGCAGGGCCAGGGTCGCCTCTCCTGGGGCGCGCGCAGCGCCGGCTCGCGGGGGCCCTGGCCCGGCTGCGCAGGAGGAGCCCCACAAGCAGGTGCTCCTGCTGCTCAGGGCCTGGCCCGAGCCTCGAGGGCGCTGCAGGGTGGGCGCAGCCGTCCAGGCCGAAGCCCTCAGGAGAAGAAGGGCAGGGTGCGCTCGTGGCCAGCGCAGGGACAGCCCCAGGAAGGCCTCAGGGGGCCCCTTGGTGGCCCCTCCAGGCAGACCCCGCCTGCGGGCTGGGGGCCGGGCCGGGCAGGCTGGCGGTGGGTGCCGGGGCCGGCGTCCCCTCAGCAGTGGCCAGTGGCAAATAAATGAGCCCCTGGCGGCAGGGAAAGGGCAGCTGGAGTGGCCGGAGGGCTCAGGGCCGGGCCTGGGTCCCCATGCGCAGGTGTCTGGCGCTGCAGTGAGGGGCGGTCTCCTTCCTGCCCCCCAGTTACTGGGGTGAGCAGGAGCGGGAACTTACAGGCGAAACAGACGTCCGGTCGCCCCTCCCGGGGTCGAGGCAGAACCCGGGGCCTCAGTGTCCGGGGGCCAGAGGGCCTCTGCCCCTTCCGGGCGGCTCCGTCACCTCACCCAGCTCCCTAAAGTTTTCAAAGCCCTTTGCGGTTTTGCCGCAATATGAAGGAATTCCAGGCATATCTTCCTTTTTTGCAGAATGGGCCTTGCTCTGAAGAATTTCTGGGCTGAGGGAGGACTGATGTCAGAGCGCCCCGGGGAGCAGGGGGCTTGTCTTCCTGGGTCTACGCTGAGGGGGATCCCAGGCCTTCCGTCAGCACCTGCTTGCCTTTATGCAGGGTCAGCCAGCAGAGCAGAGCTGCGTTTTATTTATTTATTTTGACCTTTTTAATATTTTATTTTATTTTATATATTTTTACATCATTTTTCATGTATGCATTTTCATCTTGGTTATAGTCCCCATACAATTCCCACCCCCCTTATTTTGACCCTAATCCTTCCTCCCCCCTCCCCAGTGTGTCTCTGGTTTATAGTTGCTTGTTGCTTGTTGATTTTTACTTTATTATAATTAGTCTTTTTTCCTGGTCCCTTATGATCCATAGGATCCAGCAATTCCACTCCTAGGTATTTACCCAACGGACACAGAAGCATCCATTCCAAAGAGCACCTGCACCCCTATGTTTATAGCAGCACTATTTACAATAGCTAAGCTTTGGAAACAGCCCAAATGCCCAAAAATAGATGACTGGGTCAAGAAGATGGGGTCCATCTACACCATGGAATATTACTCAGCATTCAAAAAAGATAAACACATGCCATTTGCAGCAACATGGATGGCGCTGGAAGGGATCATGCTCAGCGAAATAAGCCAGAAAGAAAAAGAAAAATACTGGATGGTCTCACTCATAGCAGGAATTCAGAGCTGAATTTTATTTTATTTTTTAAAAGATTTATTTATTGTTTATTTATTTATACAATCACTGGGCACAGTCAGAAGCGCGGGAGGGTGAGAGAATTCTCCAGAGCCAGAGCGGGGAGCAGAGCAGGCAGAAGGACTGAAGTACACTGCTGAGGGGAGCAGTGGGTGTGGCAGGAGAGGTCTGCGCGCCATGTAGGACCCTTGCCAGTGGCCGGGGATCGAACCGGCGCTGCAGAGGCTGCGGGCAGCTTTGCAACCCAGCGCTCAACTGCTGCGCCCCGGGGGAGGCCCAGAGCTGAATTTTAAAAGGGAAACAGAAAAGGGCCAGGGAAAGCCAGGCCCCACAACAGCCCCATCACAAGGTGACTCACTCAGCCTCGGGGTCTCCCTGTTGTGGGTCCAGCGGCCTTCCCGCCTGCAGAGCGCAGCGGGAGGGGAGGGTGAGCGGCGGCTGCCGGCGGGTCATTGCGCGCTGGCGCTGCGGGGACAGCCTGCGAGGCGCCCTGTGCGGACAATACTGCAGGGAAAGAGAACATCTAGCGAGTTAAAAATCTTGCTTGCTGTTCACAGACCAATAAATTATTGCAAACCACTGACATCATCGATGAGATCTTTCATGCAAACACCGTGGCTTTTTATTGCTATGACTTCCTCATGCGCCTTCTCACACAGAAGAAACAGAGGCAACAAATGGCCACTTGGCTCTCCTGTTAATACACTCGCGCGCGGCGTGTCGCTTGCTTCCTTTCATCGGCTGAGTGGGGAGGAAAGACAAAGGGGCTTGGAAATCTGTACAGTGGCTTCGGGGGGTCTCAGCAGCCGGAGCTGATCACCACAGCACGCCAGGCCCTCAGGGGTGCACAGGGCTGCCGTGAGGAGTAAGCGCTCATAGTCAGTGCTGACTGTTTCCTTCTGCATGAACAGATCCGAGATGTGCACAGCACGCCCTCTCCAGCCTTCCCGGCCGCGCTCAATCTGGGAGTCTGGTGCGTGGGAAGTCGCGGGGCAGGGCCCGGCCCGGCCGGGGTGGGGGGGGAGTTATTATTATTATGGCTGCTCCTGCTCTGCCAGTGTCTCTCCCTGGGTCAGCACCAAAGGGGCTGCGTGAAACTGGAAAATACTGTTAAGGCAGAACAAAGTCGATGGTTTTTCCTGTTTGCAGGAAAAACTGAAAATACTTACTCCTGATTGGGCAAGATTTGTCTTTACTATGGTCCTTCCATAACCGCATGGGCGAGCGGGAGGGAGCTCTCCCCAGGACACCTCAGAACTAAATGTGGGGAAACGCTATTTTGGTGTGAAGGACAGAATTATACCTCTTAACTTGCTTTTGTTAGTCCAGGAAATGGCTTTCTGCAAAAAAGTGTTTATAGACACACAGAATCATTGGCCACCCAATTGTTTCACACGCTCCATTCTGGGCGAGAGATTTCACCGTTATTCCTATCTGGATGGGTGCGCCGGCCAATGAGATCCCATTTAATTGTTAAATATGTAATTTGTGCTATTTTATAGATGCATAAAGAAGTTTCTGTGAAGTACTATGGAGCTTTATCCGGAACACCTGAAAAACAGAACCAACCCTAAGGCACAGTATTATGCAACACCTGCCGGCAGGAGCCGAGAGAATCTTCTGGCAGAAGGATTGCCTGTCTACATCCCAGCAGAGAAATGGTCACCATAGTGACTTATTGCTTAAAATAGTTCCATGTTTTTTTCTCTGCATAATCCATGCTCTGTCTCAGTACCTTTGAAACACAGAGCACTCGTGTTTTCAGCGCACAGAATCTCTGCTTTCCCTAGTCACGCACAGAGAATTCGGGAGCCATTGGGAGCATGCCGGCCCGGATGCCGAGCGGTCCCGGCCCCACCGCGGACCACTTCTCTGGAATTCCAGGTGCAGGAAGAGGAGCAGGGCCGTGGAGCCGCCCAGCCCAGGGCCCTGCTGTGGGGACCTGCTCCCCCCAGCCCTGTCGTGCGTGTGCGAGGGGCCAGACCTCCAGGACGCAGGCCCGGGGGTGCGAGAAGGTGGCTCACTGTGAGAAGCCCCCAGCCGCTGGCGGAGGAGCCGGAGTCCTCTTTAGAAGAGTGTGAGCTGCAGCCTGAAGGTTTAAAACAATTATCTGAAAAGCATGGCCAAGCCAGAAGGATTCTTTTATCTTTGGGTGGTGGGGAGAGCTCCGTTACCCCAACAACGACACACCCCGATAAACTTCCTTAGGGATTTCACATTCCTGGGCCTCCATCCTACCTGCAGAATGGGAATTACGACCTCAGTCCCGAGGGCGGCTGGAGGAGCTGCATGTGTGTCGCCATATGCTGCTGCGGTGTAGGTCGGGACTGTCACTCTGGCTTCTGCTTTGCCTGGGAAGCGCCCCCAATGCCATGGGGGCGCTTTCTGGGAAGGCAGCAGGAGTGCTCATGGATGGGCCCCAAGGCAGCGAGGACACAGCCGTCCCTGTCCCCAGGGATGCAGCTGGTGTGACGAGTCGGGGTGCGGCCTCGAAGGAAGGTTTGGTCTCGTGACTGTTGGTCAGTCCGTGGACAGGGGCACGAGTGTCACTTAAGAGCTTGTAAGAAACGCAACAGCTCAGCCCTCGCCCTACTGGAGCAGAATTTGGTTTTTAAGAAAGATCCCCGGGTGAGTCACAGTGTCGCAGTCAGAATCCGGGACGCGCCGGTGTTCAAGAAGGTGGCAAGACAGCCTGAGCGCTGTAACGTCTCTGTCGGATCACTCCATCACGAAGGTTTATCGAGTCCTTACTATAAAACAGGGGCTGACTGAGAACTGTCTCCCGGGGGCTGTGCTGCAGGGGAGGCCCCGGGGCGGAGGTGTATTTATTGATTTATACAAGAACCTGGGTACAGGCCAGATGCACGGGAGGGTGAGAGGATTCACCAGAGACAGAGGGGGGAACAGAACAGGCAGACTGACCGAAGTACACTGCTGAGGGGAGCAGCGGTCGCGGCAGGAGAGGTCTGCTGCGCCATGAGGGTAGCTCCCTGGCCGGGGATTGAACTCGTGCTGCAGAGGCTGCGGACAGCTTCATAGTGCGGTGCTCAACCCCTTGCAC